CAGGACGTCGACGCCTCGCCTTCGCAGGAACGAGTCTCCCAGCTCCGTGTGCTCTTCGAGAGCAGGCTGCAGACACCGCACGCCGGCTGGGACGATACCTTCCAACTCTTCTCCAACTTCGTCTCCAAGTACTACAACGCCAACTACGAGGACCTCATGGTCGACGCCAGGAGCAAGGCTGCCGAGGCAAAGGCTATGTACGCTGCTCGCGAGACGCGTGAAGCTGCCTTGCACAGAACCATTGAGCTCAAGGACACCAATGCCGAGTGGACCACTTTCCAGGAGTATCTCGACTGGGAGCTCTCCAAGCCGCAGCGGAGAAAGGGACAGCAGCAGCAACAGCAGCTACAGCCACTCCGCCTTGAGCTAATCACTTCACTTTACCAGCGTGCCGTCCTCCGTTTCCCCACAGACGCTACTCTCTGGGAAGACTACGTCATGTTTCTCATTGACGAGTCCATGGACGGGCCCATGGGTGTCTCACCCATCCCGGTGATCGAGCGTGCAACCCGACACTGTCCCTGGTCCGGCGCCCTGTGGTCGCAGCTTTTCATCAGCGCCGAACGGGCTGGTCTCTCCTTCGCCGAGATTCTCGAGCTTAAGCACAAAGCCACGCGTTCTGGGCTTCTCGACGCTGCAGGTATCAACGAGGTCTTGAAAGTCCACACTACTTGGTGCAGCTACCTTCGCCGCTGGGCACTTCAGCCAGAATCCACAGACGAAGACCTCGACGTTGCCGAAGTCGGTATCCGCTCCGCCATTGAATCCGTCCAGGAGCTCGGCGACAAGACTGACAAGGCCGTCCCCAATGACCCGCTCTTCCACCTAGAGCGCATCTACATTCGCTACCTTAGTGCGCGCGGAAGCTGGGACAGCGCACGCGAGGAATTCAAACACCTCATCCCCCGCCACGGACACAGCTTCGAGTTCTGGCTGGCGTACTATACCTGGGAACTCCTCTCATGGAGCAAGTTCATGCCCTGCGACTCTTCAGCGAGTGCATCCCGACGGATGCCGAACCCAAGCTACGCTACCGCAGTGTTGAAACAGGCTTTGCAACGGACAGATCTAGACTGGCCGGAGAAGATTATGGATGCCTACATTTCACACTGTGAACATTACGAAGACGCAGACGAGTCTCAACTTGCCATTATTGATGTTCGGAAGGCCATGAAGGCATTGACAAAACGCAGGCAACGAGAGGCCTTGCAGCAACAGCAACAGCAGCAGCAGCAACAACAACAACAACAGTATCATCATCATCAGCAACTTGCAAATCACCAATATCATCAGGTCCAACATGCTCAACATGCTCCGGTCTCGGTGGGGCCCCACCCGGATTCCGTGGAGCAGCAATACCACTACCCCGACGAAACTCAACTTGCTGGTAAAAGGAAACGCGAGGGTGAGCCGGAGGTGAATGGCACAGTCTCGAAGAGGGCAAAAGGTGGTGCCATCCCGTCGGTAGAAACACGCGCCCGAGACCGAGAGCATGCAAGTGTCATAATCAAGAACTTGCCAAAGGATATCCCGCAGGTCAAGATTAGGCAGTTTTTCCGAGACGTAAGATACTACTACCCCGAATATCTCTAGTCTAGTCCAGCGAGAAACGAAAAAGAAACCAACAAAAGGTTAAACTAACAAAATTATATAGTGTGGAAAGCTCAATTCCCTTCAGATGCTCCCCGGCGACTCCGGATCTGCATTGCTCGAGTTTGATACCCATGAAGATGCCCTGGCCGCCGGCACAAAGAATCAAAAGGTTCTAGAAGGCAACCAGGTGACTGTTGAACCAGTTACAGACACTACAATCTTTGTAACCAACTTTCCGCCCACAGCGGATGAAAATTATATTCGTGAGCTCTTTCATTCGGTATTCCCTGCCCCCGGTTTCCTTGGTGTCCTGATTGTCTTCCATGGTGCTAACGTCAAGATGCGTTTTTAGTATGGAGAAATTGCCGAAGTGCGATTCCCATCACTTAAATTCAATACCCACCGCCGCTTCTGCTATGTTCAGTTCACCTCTTCTTCATCAGCATACGCCGCCACTGAGCTTGACAAGAAAGATCTCGGTGATGGTCTAGAATTGGTGGTCAAAATCTCTGACCCGTCGCAGCGACAGGCTCGGTCTGGCGCTTACGAGGAAGGCCGAGAGATATATGTCTGTAACATACCCTACAAGACCACAGAGGGAGACCTTGTTGAACTCTTCACCGCCTATGGGGACGTTGAGTCAGTTAGGATACCCACCAAGGTGAATGGAGAAACTAGAGGTTTCGGTTTCGTCACTTTTGCTACAAAGGTAAGCTATTTGCATAGCAAGTTTTTTTTCTTCTTTTTTTTCTTCTTTTTCTCTGCTGTTTTTTCCTTTTTCAGCTAGATCGAGCAGTTATACTAACCTCAGATAAGGATCAATCAACCGCTGCCCTGGCTATGAACGAAAAGACGTTCAAGGGCCGAGAGCTAAATGTTCGGCTCTCGACCAACACCGGAGCCAAACGCCATCAGAATACAATTGTCTCACGATCTGAATCACCAGCCACTAACGCTCAACGTAACGGAACCAGCACCGCCTCACCCCCACCAGGCTCACTGCCCGATGGCCAGAGCAAGGGCAAGGGAGACCGCCATCTGCGCACCTTGGGCTTAATGAACATCCCGGACACGGTGAACGATACCCGAATTCATGCTCTTGCAGAGCCACACGGCGTTCTGGTGAAGATCAATCTGCGGCCCGACCATCAAGGTGCTATCATCGAGTATGCCGACACGCATGATGCAGGTAAAGCCTCATTGGCCCTTGAAGGGTACGAGATTACTCCCGGGAGATTCATCCACGTCGGTTCGGTAAAAGAGATGTTACAGCAAAAGGCAGAGCATAAGATTGACAGGATCCCCATTGGCAAGGAAAAGGGTAAAGTCAGCGGTGCCACAACATCCGGCAGCGGCACTACTGGTGGCAGCAAGATGATGACCCAGCCCTCTGCCCCAATAAGACGACCAAACCAGTCTTCTGGCAGCGGACGCAGAGGCGGATTAGGAGTCAAGCGCGGCGGATCAGGTATTCCGTCGAGGGACAAACCGCCCGGCTCAACGACTAATCATCATGATGATACCGACGGCCAGAAATCGAATCAGAAACAGTCCGAACCCACGACGACACGGAATAAGACGAATGACGACTTTCGAGCAATGTTATCACAGCCCAAGTGAGGCTGGCTGGTTATAACGGACCTACCTATACCCACCACATATTCTTGTTCCCGCGTATTATTTTCTCACTCTCCTCTTCCTCTTTTGACCTCACTTCGCTCTACTTTTACAACCTTACCCCGTCTTCAACTTCCCCTCTATTCTCCCGATCATCCGGTGGCGCATTTTTTTTTACATTTCCTATCTCCATTCTGCCTCCTAGCGATGTGAGTTCACTCTAAAAGAAACGCGCATTTTTCTTTTTAGCGCGACTTTCAAAAAAAAATAAGAAAATCACCGCCCCAGCGTATACAACTGGCTTATGCACTACGAGAAGGTGTAGTCCAGCTGTAACGGGTGAAAATTACATCTCTCTCCGCATTTTACTTCCTACCGCCAACTTAGCCTTCTTGAGTTGGCTCCTCCTTTTTTTACCTTTTCCCGATCTCCCTTTTTCTTCATTTCCTTCATTTTCATGTCCATATACCGTTACCGTTACCGTTACCTGCATGATGGAATGGCTTTTTTCTTTTGACCTGCGTTCTTCATTTAATCTCTCTTGCTCTTCCTATCTTGCAGCATCGTACCTTGCACATCCAGACAGACAGACACAGACACAGATATTGCTTAATTTAACTAATTGGCAAGCCGGTATAGGGGGACGAGAGTTATGCAAATACTATGCTGTGTGGCGGTTTTTGGTTGCTGCTGGTGTTGATAGCGGCGGTAGAGGCATAATGTACGATTATCTATCTTCTGCTTGTCTGCCTCTTCGTTCATTTCGACTGAATGGGCGAATGGAAGGCTCTAACTAGTTAACTCACTACTTTACGAGTTCTTTATTTCAGCTCAAGCCGTGTCTATCTCTATGTCATCGATCACATTGTATTGTATAGGAGTTGTTAAGAGGCTCGAGACATTATCAACGGAGCTAGATTTGGTAGATATAACTAGCTACTTACAACTTGTCTGCCCTTGGGAAAAGGCCTCAAGCTTACCCGCCAGGCACGCTGGACTGGTTTATATCAGCGTTATTAATGACAGGGAAGAAGCAGAGCCTAACGTTCACTTGATCGAGTCAAGTGAAGGCTCGGACAAAAGAAACACTTCTGCCTTGTTTTTTTCTGCGACTTAGTAGTTAAGTATAGCATCACATGATGCGGGCTGGCGTCATGCCATTAAAGGAGGACGAAGAAGAAAACCTCCTAACAACGTAGACGAACAAGAGAAGAAGAACCCGAGACTCTCTTGCAGGACTCAGCCTTGTCTATCACACGCCCTGAGACAGTGACGCTCGTTGAAGACGCCGGGTTGGTCGTCGCCTGCTTGTTTTTCTAGGTAACTAGTTGGCTGGGCTGCTTCGAGGATCTATCAATACAACCGCCATCGTGGACTCTCGTCTGGTGCCCGGGGAAGGGCGAAAAAACTACACGGGCTTCTTTACAAAGACCATTCTCTACTCGTTCACTCTCTTCCTCTTCCTGATCGGTGCGTCATCTCCCGCCGGTACCTGTGGCGTGGCAAGGGGTTCGTTTGTTGACAAACACGATGTATAGCTTCTTCGTTGACGCTGGTATCAATCTTTCTTCCAAAATGGCTTGGTTACTATAGCGAGACGGTGAGATAAATGCGTCCCTTGGTACCTCTTTACACCCCATATTGAGCAATGTAGCTAATACCAGCCGGGACCTCAACAGCCCTCCGGCCAGCAGTTCTACCTCACATACGGCCTGACGAGACGATGCTCCTCCGAGTCCCCCGGATGCGACGAGTTCCCAAAGTATGAAGACTGTCAAGCAGACAACTCCATGTTTGGAGTCAGCATCAATCGCTTCGGCAGTTCAGGCTCCGACCTTTTCGCCAACCATGCCATATCCAACCCGATATTCTGCTCAATGTGGCGATCAGTTGGGTTCCTGGTATCGCTCGCCGTTGTCCTCGAGGGAATGACCTTTGTGGCCTTCGTCGTGATTCTGGCAGGAGGAAAGCAGATGAGAGAAACTGGCTGGAAGATGTTGACGGTGTTTCTGGTCCTGATTGGTCTTGTACAGGCTGGCGGAATGGGTCTAGTGGTGAGTCCCTGTGCCCCCACGCTACTGGTTGTTATATATATGTGCCTATCTATATACCTCCCTCAGGGCAAAACACGCCCAGATGACGCATGCTGACATGAATGGACAGTCATACCTGTTTGACAATGACGACCGCTTCTACCCTGGATGGAAGCTCGACGACTCGTGGATCCTGTGCACCGTCAGTATGTGCCTGATGGTGGTCAACGCGGTGGCGATGTACACGATAGCCCGAGTGCTGCCAAACGAGGGCGGCTATGAGCTAATAGCTGACCACGACTGAGATCGAACCCAGCCGACCTTTTCACCTACAACTTTTCGTCTCTCTTCTCTATCATTTCTTCATGTCTTTATCTTTATCATCGTCTTTCTTTTGATGCTTTTATATTTCCCTTTTCGGCGTTCTCGCTTTAAGGTTTCCACGTGAGTTGATGTCTGTGTTACATAATCATTCACGGTGAAATAAATACTCCGATTCCGTTCCCTTTTTGGAAATGGGCGTCAACTTTTTTTCAACTTCGACTTCGACTTTTCTTCTTCTTCATCATCTTTCGTCCTGCAGCTTTCGATTCTCCTATCTTGACGCAGTTGATGCCTCTGAAAGACACGTTGGCAGCGAGGATATTTCCTTGAAATCACAGGACGGCTGGGTTAACGACGGCTTTTTCAGGCGATGGTCGATCTTCGGGCCGGCGTTTCACTTCCAAACCCAGCGCCTTGCTCCGTGGTGGTTCCTGAATGACCGTCACGGCCAGCCAGCTGTTTATATCCATCCAGAAGAGCTGCTGCTTGTTGATCTC